CCCAAATGTTCTGAAATCACTTGAACATAAACATCAGAAGATCAGGAGAGCATTTTGGGCTGACAATATAGATGTTTGATAGTTACCAACATAAAGATGGAATTTAAAACCATGGAAAAGAATGTGATTACTGTGACAGAACATGAAGGGTAAGAATCAGGCCTCAGGAGAATCTGGAAGAATACTTTAAGACAACAGGAGAAAGGTAAACTCACAAAAGTAAGACAGAAAGAAGAGAAAGGACTTAAGAAACACCAATTTTTAACTGTTTGGAAAGGGAAAATGGTATGAAAAATTCTAATCAGATTCAAGCATAAATAAAAAGAAAATCCAGGAGACTGAAGTGCTGAAGTGTCCACAAGCTCTGCTATCCATCCTGTGTACCTGCTTAGTAAGGGTGACCCACACCAACTTTCACCTCTCATTTGAATTATTGCAGTTGTTTGCACTGCTCACTCTACCTCTAGTTGCTCCAAATCGTTCCCCATCTGGGCAAATCTGATAAATTGTTTCCCTTCTCAAAACTCTCAGCACTTTGTCACCGACTGTCAGTATAAAGTCCAAACTCTGAGCTGCAGGAAGGGCCCCATGAAGTTAAGCACTGCCAAGAGGTGCCCTCTCCTGGAGACACATTCTGCACCTTGTCTTCTCAGTTATGCTTCATCTCTGAAAAGGCTCATTCAGGTCCTCTCCATGCAGGCTGCTAAGGAGCCAGTAGGCTCAGTCACTATTCTTTCCATCTGGTATGTGTTCTACACAGAGATGCTCTTTCATGAACCTCACCTTCTTCTCGTCCTGCAGCCTCTTCTGTGTTTACAGCAGTGGGCTTTCTCTGCCAAGATCAGTCTTCTCTGTCTGCTTTGATTCCTCCACACATATTCCAGATTTGCACTCCGCTATCTCCACTGTCCACTCAATGTCCATTAAACCCATGATGTTTTCATATTACCTCCATCTTTTTCTTTTATGGCACTTAGAATTCATAACTCTTACTTATTCATTCACTATTCTTTACTCTCTCTCTCTCTTTCTCTCTCTTCATTACCTACTTTGTTAGATCAAAGGCCACTATGTATTTTTCTATACTGCTTTAACCAAGCAGTCTGGTACACAGTAGATATCCAATAACTGTTGAATGAGTGATTTTAAAACTGCATGATGTCTCAGTCCAGTTTTTTGCTGCTATAACATAATGTCACACACTGAGTAACTTATAAAGAGATGAAATTTATTTGGTTTATAGTTCTGTAGGCTGGGAAGTCTAAGATGGAGAGGTAGTATCTGTTGAGGGCCTTCTTGCTCAATCAAAACACGACAAAAGGGCTAGCAAGCACACAGAGACATAGAGGAACCTGGGTAAACTGAAACTCACTAATTTTTCAGGAACCCATTCGCAAGATAACTACCCTTTGATAAAGACATTAACTCACTCATAAGGGCAAAGATTTTCATATCTAGTTCTCTCTTAAAGTTCTTATTGGTCAATATTGTTAATTAGGAAATATTATGGCTTGTATCTTGATGTCCATCCAAAGCTTCATCTGCTCATAAGTAGGGCTTTTCAGAGGTGGCTGGATTTGGGATGTATGAATGTGAATTAAGGGTGTGTGACAACTAAATTAGTTCACTGATTAGTTTAGCATAGTTATAGTGTGGATAATGGGAAGCCCCGCCCTGGGTAGTGGTGGCACCAACCAATAGGCTTGTGGCCTGAATGGAATAAAAGGGAATGGGAGCCTCAATGCTGCTGCTTGCTGCCTCTTGCCTGCTCTGCCAAGGACTGTTTTCTTCTTCCATACCCATCTCCCATGTTTTCCTGCCTTGGAGCCAGCCCACTGTGAACTGAAACCTCTACAGAGCTACCTCAACTCCTTTAACTTGTGGGTTTTGGGTATTTTGTCCCAGAAACAAGAAACTAACTAAGAAAGTAATAAGGGTTAAATATTAACATAAAATTTATAGGCAACATTTAAACCATAACACATAGCACATCTCTGCCAGTACAATTTTGTTTCTTCCAGTTTTGGAATGTCTTTACCCACTTTCTCAATTCCACATTAGACACCACTCATCAAATAAAAACTCAGGTTTTTTTCACAAAATTTTCTGACAATTTCTCCTCTTATTCTCACAAGGAATTATTAACATTTTCATTTGGACTTCTGCACATATCCCATACTTCTATCATAACAATTTTCTATTGTAACACTTAGTCTATAAGTATTTCTTTGCTACTTGACTTTTAGTTACTTGAAATAAGGAATCATGTCTTATTTTTTGTTCTCCAAAAACTATTTTGTCTCCAAAAGTTAAATGAACAAGAGTAGAAAAGTTTGTTCCAGTTCCAAACCATTTTGAATATGAATTGAAATACATTTATCTTAAAGAAATTTAATTGGTTTAATCTTTTAAATCAATATTAAAATCAATATTTTCCTTTAAGATGTTATAGTATCCTTGCCTCTGTACTAAATGAACTGGCTCTTAAATTCTTGACTGTATTATAGTTTTTAAAATTTTCCTTCTGCCAGGGCTAATCTAATAAATTCTTGACTATATTTATAGTTTTTTAAATTTCCCTTCTGCCGGGGCTAACGTTTTTTTTTTGTTTTTTTGTTTGTTTTTTTTTAACCAGGGATCAAACTCAGGACCTTGTGTTTATAAGGCAGACAGTGGAACCACTCAGCTAAATCCCCAGACCAGGGCTAAGCTGTTAATTCTTGCTAGCACACTTTTGTATCAATAGTTTTCTCTGTCATTTTTTACTTTCTATATTCTAAGAAATCCACAAATGACCAGTTGCATTGATTTTTTAATAAGTGTAAATGGATTCTAAGGGAGAAGCTGAGCTCTTCACCCAGACCCAATGTGCTTAAGCTGGCCTGCCCAAACATTGAGACAAATGGTTTGGTAGCTCAGGTTGTTCTGAGTTTTTCTTTCTAGTTCAGGTTGATCAGGAAAACCAAACAGCATAATGAAGAATTGCAGAAATGCAAAAGTATATTCTTTTCTATAATGTGAAACTCTCAGATAAAAAATAGTCTTGTTAACCCTAACAAATAAGTAAATAAATCAATTAAATCAAGAGGTTATGGAGAAAGGATCTTTACTCATATCACCAGATAGTAACTAACACAAATGACTGTGTTATGGCTTGTGTCTAGATGTCTTGCCAAAGCCTCATGGACCTAGAGTGTGATAGTGGGATTAAGGATGTGTGGTACCTAAATGGGTTTAGTGTAACTCTACATGTGGATAGTGGGAAGGCCCTCTCTGGGGGTGTGGCACCAATCAACAGGCTTGTGGCCTGGATGGAATATAACGGAGAGGAGGAAGGTAGGTAGTTGTTTCTGCTTGATGCTTCACCACTTCTGCCTGCCACAGCATGAACTGTTTCTCCTCTGTGAGGCCCCTATGCCAGGCCACCCTGCCTTGAAGCTGGAGTAAAACCTCTACAAACTGTAAGCTGAAATAAACCTCTCCTCCTTTAACTGTGGGTGTCAGGTATTTTGTCTCAGAAGTAGGAAAAACTAAGATACTCTGCCAGAACAACCTTGCACAAAAGCTGCTGCTCCCATATTCAAAAAATGCTTCTTGAAGGACATCTGTTCACCAACTGTCTATCCAACTTCACACTGGTGGCACCTTATTGTCAAACCTTGAGGGAAAGAATTACCGTTCAAAATATTGTAATTCTCATCATTTTTGCCTTGAAAAACTTGCTCTTATCTCAACTTTGAAGGCATTCAGTTTACTGAAACATGTGTTCCCACTGTAATACTTTATTATTCCCAAATGAATATCATTATTCTTTGGGGATCTCTCTCTGACCGTAGGTTGACAATACTATACTAAATGTAATTTGATCCTAATTTCTTGATTCAGTTGTCATGCATAGTAATATTTGATGACTCTCTATGATATGTCGAAGACTTTATCAAACTTTCCCATAGTATGATTGATTCTGAATGTGGCTTTTGTTGCTTCTTCCAGCTCAGTGAGAAAACCTAAAACCACCCTCAGCACTACTATCCAATACTCAGGGCAATTGCCTATATACTAAGAATCCAAGTAGAAAGATGGTTTTAGCCAATGCCCCTGCCTTTTATTTTTCCAATCTAACTTTTCACTACCACTAATAGTCATTTCTCATCCCCTCTGTTGCACCACTCACCACTAGTACTATTGTCTGGTTATAGTTTAGGAATAAATTTTCTAGAAAAGTTTAGATATCAGATGAGTCTGCAAATTATTTCTGGATGGAAGGTCATTTTCAGATTTTGACCATTGGAGCGATTTTTGTGTCTTTGTGCTTATTCATATTTTTATTCTTTGAGAATTGAGTACATGCATCATCTTAGATGGAAGAAAATGGTATTTTTGTATTTCACTAATTTTCCAAGAAGAATGGCAATATTTCTTTTTCATAAAACTATTCCTATTATTCTTAATTAAGCACAATTTTTCTTACTTTGAGAGCTTATATGAGATCACTTCAGAATTTCTTAAACAGATAATTCTTAACTATCTCTTATGTAATCTGGCTACATCCTTCATTTTCCTGTCTGGAGGAATTAGGGAATCTGGGCCACAGGGGCTCTTACTTACCCAACGGTGTGCCAATCCCTGGAGCTCCCAGAGTAAAATAAGTATTTAAGAGTGAGGCAAAGAGTGGAACAAAAGCACTTGACACTCATAAATGCATAAAGTTACTTTATTTTAAGTATACATTTAATTTTGAAAAATATAAATGCTAAAATATCTCATCTTCTTCATCTCTTAATTCCATAAAAGTCACAATAGAAAGCTTCATAAAACTGTAAAATACTATAATGTTATAGGAATTTTAGGTTTTATATTGGAAAAAATTATTAGTAATATATTGAAATGTTTTCTGTTCTTTATCATTTTGCTCCACCATGTTGATCAACTTCATTTAAAATAAAAAGATGCATAATTTCTCCAAAGTTAATAAAGACTTAAGAGAATAAAAATAAGAATATCTGAAAGTGCGTACTGATTCTGAAAAGTAATGTGTACAGGTATGTACCAGCCGTGAAAATGGCTAAAAGAGGCAGCTGTTCATTCTTTTCACATTGTAGGACTGGGACAAAGTTACTTCTGGCTCTAAAAGTTTACTGGGTAACTTTTTAACCCTGAGTTGCAATATTTACCTAGGAAACACAATTCAGAATTTTTGTCTGTATCCATAGAGCACAAACAAATGAGCCAAGAAATAAGATATATCCAAATCTCGAGTCAAAACACAACTTGATTATCATATGTTATTAGTTTGTTTGTTTGTTTGTTTTTAAGATTTCAGGCTGTAAAGGTGCTCAGTGAAGTCACTAACTGAACATCCCCATGGCCCTCAGACAGAGAAATGCTGTCATCATTTGATTGTGTTCAGCTGCTGGGTGCCACTGGGCTCCCAGCTCATGCTGTGAGAGCAGATGTGAGCTATCATGGAACATAAATAAGAATATCTCAGGTTCCTGCACCAAAATCATATAAGTAGTAAGAAAAGACTGAAGAACACTTTGTCCCATCCATGAACAATGTCAACCTCTGTAATACAACTCAAATATTTTGTTTCTACAGACAGTCAGCAGTCAATACATTTCAAGTACTTTAACACAGTTAAAAGAACCAAAAACTTGGAAGACAATCATTCTCCATATTAAACACCAATATATATCTGATAAAAGAGTCATTGTGTGTGTGTTGTTGCGTGTACATAAAATTCACAAAAATTGGATTGCTGACAGCAGATAATTTCCCCCCCTTTCTTGAAGGGGCTGAGGATGGAGGTTTTCTTTCCTGCTTCTCAAGTCAGTATGGCTCCTCTCAACCCCTCCCTCAACCTCCCTGGAAGAAGAGGCAGGAACAATACTGCCCATGGGATATAATTAGGATTTCAAGTAGTTGTTATACCCAGCAGAGAAAAGTGACTTTCTCAAGGAAAGTATCTCCCACAGATTTTCTCTCAAATGCAAAAGCAGAGGAAGTAATGCTCTTTTCATAGGCAGACTTAGCCTAGTCCTTTCTTTCCTTTCAGCAGTCAGTTCCAATAGCCCCAGGAATCCTGGTTAACAGCTGTGAGTGTATTTAGTCTTTACCTCAAGAAAAGTGAATCATGTATCTCTAAGTGCACACTGGAGTGAAAATAGAGAAATATGTTGTAAAAAAATTACTGTTGCATTTGTGTTCAGTTTACATAGAAACAAAACCACCCCCAAATCTGGCTGATTCTTATCCAATCCACACATTTGGTTAGAGCACAGGTAATCTAGTAGCTGTCTGCACACGTACCTTGGGTTTGCTTGTCAGTGTGGTAACTACATTTGTTTCTCTAAAGGCAATAATATTTAAAAAATTATTTCCTGGGTTCCACAGTGTTGAAAGGGTTTGCTGTTGCAAACATAAGGTACTATTTTGAATTTATAGCAGAGACACAAACCCTCATCCCAGAGCGACACACGTGGGTCACAAAGGAAATGCAGATAGCTTCCAGGCTACTCCAAGGCTGAAATGATCAGCCAAGTTGCTTCAGCAGTTCTCTTACTAGTATGGAAAGGAATATAAATCCCAAAATACTTGATTTGTGATCAGAAGAGCAAATATTATATCTAGAGCTTTTATAAAAGCTAAACAGAAGTGCCTTTGATGTAATATCTTGATTAGACTAAATTTACTATGCATTGATTGTTAGACATTCTGCTGATACTCCAATCCTTAAAGAGAGAGATTCGCTTTCTCATATAGGTTTTAAAGGATAAAATATAACTAAACAATACAGAATAATCATTTTAAGGGTAGATCTATATACAAACATGATGCCAAAATTTGGCAAGTGAGGTTTTAGCATATGTAATTTGCCACTATTATTTAATTTACAAATTGAGGTCATTTATGCCTAATTTTTATAAAATTAAAAGTTTTGAGATATTACAAAAGGATAATAAAACTTTTATAATTTACTTCAAGAGGACAGGATTACAGTTTAATTGGTGTAAGAATGAGTGGAGTCAATAAGTACACCAAAATGAGCAATTCCATCAGCTTCCAATAGTCCTCCAACAGCCTGTTATACTGAGGATACATCTCAGTTGGTTATATGAATCCAAATTATAATTTAACATTTAAATTGTTGTTCTTAACATATATTCAATATATAATGCGGCTCATTAAAGACATTCTACTTAAATACTATACTTATTTTGGTTAATTAGGTCCGATTTCCAGTACAGTTCTCTGAAACAAATGCACATATATGTACACATATTTACCTTAAATATTCTGATTACAAAGAATGTGTGAAAGTATTGTTAAAATGCACGCACTTCTACCTTTCTATCTGAATTCCCATAACACCCACTAGGTGCGTAAATGAGCTGTCAATATTCCTGTGGATTTTCTTTTGTGAGTATGAGCTACTGTAGCAGTGATGGTGACTGCGAGCTGGGTAAAAAGACTTATTTACCTTCATTTGCACAGTGACACATTTCTTGGACCCCTGAAAAAATTTTCATGTGTGGTTTGGATTTTATGAAAACTGACACACAGGGCTTAATAACTTTGCCCTTTGTCACTCTTTTTCTAACTTAGCACAGATGTGCACTAGCCACCCACAGCACATACAAAAAAAAACACAAATATTTCAAAACGAAAATAATGCCTGACAATACTGTGTAGGACAGAAATGTGGTAGTACAACCCACATCTGTGTCTGATACTACGACTACCAGAACAGCATTTCCTCCCTTATGCAAGAATTTCTCTCTTCTCCCAAGTTCTCTCAAGTTCCTTCATAGAATCATTACATTTCTTTTAAAGAACAGGATAAAATGGATGCTTAGAAACATGGTGTTTTTAAAATCTGATTTAGCCTTCTGGCTTACCCTAGAGATTGTGTGTGTGTGTGTGTGCATGTGCATGTGTGCATGTGTGTGTGTGTGTGTGTGTGTGTGTGTGTGTGTAAAAATCACATTATATACAATACAATTTTTACAGAAAGCCTGGCAGCTACAAATAAGAGGTAGAACTACTCAAAACTATGTTTCCTGCTGCAGGAAAAATTCATTTTCTTTACAGTAATTAAAAAAAGTTTAAAAAATTGACAAAAAATAAGTTGCAGGTTAGGCCCCATAATTTAAACAACAAAATCTAGGAAGAAAAATATTCTTCAATGTACTCAACAGACAAGTTCATTAAAGGGTTAAAAAAAGTTGCATAGGAAAAAGGGACATTCCAGCACTTGCTACAATGGTGGCAATGATTTCGCTACAGGGAGTAAAGTACCTTTAGTTTTTCTGCTTTTGATAACACTATGATTAGGGCTTACAAGCAAGGGCAAGTTAGAATAGCAGCACTTTTTTCCAGTCCTGGGCAGCTCTATAAGGGGGAGAAGGGACTCTGTCTGGAGGTTAAGGTTTGTTCTACCAGACAAAAAGAAAAACAAGCCAGTAAGCACAGCTCCAAAGCTAAAATTTTAAGTTCCTTCAGTATCTCAGTAAAAGATTTTATAAAATATTTAACACTTCTGACCTCTGCTTAATAAAAGGAAAGGACAAGTGTGTGTGCACGTCTTGAGTGACAGGGGAACTGGGGTGTCACTGAACACATCTGAAAGTGTAAGAATAACAGGGAGATTCAGCAGATGCTTTTTTAAGGAACAGTACACTACTGTCCTGATATTACCTATGTAAGAGAGAAGCAGAGAGAGAGCTGTATTATTTGGCCAGTGACCAAAAACTAAAACAGAACAAATATTAAAAAATAAATGGCAAGAAAAAAAAGATTGTTAACAACAAAACTGTCAGTTGTAAGAAAGACAAACAGATTATAATGTAGTTTCTGTTCCCTTGCTCCTCCAGAAATAATCATTGTCTTCAGGCTCAAGTTCTATTCTAATTTGAGGCACAACTTTTACTGGAATTCTAGGAGGACTGGAGAGAAAAAAAAAAAGAAAATGAAAGGAAACAGTAAGTCAGTCTGATTTTCTTTATCAAATGTTTACACATTGCACAGAAATTGAATGTACCAATATTTTTCCTCTTGTAATAATATTCAGTCCATATGCATTAAAAACCAAGGTATTTTTAAATGTTATAAAGGTACCTATAATAGTCAAGAAATTCAGATAGATATCTCCTAAGATTCCATACTAGATTCCAAAAAATAATAACAAAAAAACCTCCCCAAAAGACAAAAGAGGATAATACTCTCTGAAATTAAAGGACTCACATAGTGAAAATATTCAGAGATTCCAATGTTTCGAGAATCAAGTCCAACCTGTCCCCTCCAGGGTCTTATCAAAGGGAAGAAAACTAGAGGACAAGCTTGGCCAGAAATGTTGGTTTCCCTGAAATTAGGCTGAGGCCGAAGTGACCAGGAGGTACACCTTGTGCTTTAACTTAATGACTGGAAGAGGCCATCGCTTTCAGAGTAAGTAGGTCTCTGAGAATGATTTTTTTGTAAGTGAAAGCTGGGGCAAATTTGGCCTCCAGGTAATTTATTTAAGATAAATCACAGAGAGAAAAAGAGAACACAGAGTCCTGCCAGTAGCCCCCCACTGACTGCATTTCTATGGGGAAATCATCCCACAGAACAGCGCAAAGTGCTGGGCTCTCCTTTACCTTGGCAAACCAAGCGACTGAAGGAAAGGAATTTTATCAGCATGATGTGTGGCGTTCAAGGAATGTTGATGATCTTTCTCCTGGAGAGAAAAAATATTTAAATCAAAAGTAGTAGGTAAAGTATAAAATTAGACTGGAGGGCCGGGGATTTAGCTCAGTGGTGCCGCCACCTGCCTCACAAGCACAAGGTCCAGAGTTCAATCCCTGGTACCATGAATTAATTAATTAAGAGTGGAAATGAAAATCTTCATAAAAATTGATGCATCTTTCATGACTGAAAAAAGACAAAGTAGACAATTTGAATAAATACTATAGCAAGCTAAGAGTGGCATGCAGACCGAATCACTTCATTTCCTGTACGTTAAGTTTTCCTGGAATGGTCCAATATTGTCTCCCAGTGAAAAGGTCAAGAGGGAGGTATTTCTACAATAGAGAGCATCTTCTCACTGTCTCATACTTGCTCTTGAGTTTCCTGCCATCTTCAACATTCACAATTTTGTCTGGCTATTATTCAAGATAAAAAAGGGTCTCTGAAGTTCTTTCACTGCAACTCTGCTTTGATCAGTTTTGTTCTTTTATAATTATAAAGATTGTCACGATATTTGAAAAGATTTCAATTGAAATGATCATGTGTACTTTCCTTACGTAAACTTCTAATACATCAACCTTCAGTTTATAGTCTTATAGAACTTTTGAGAGGATAAAGAAAACCGGCACATAAACTCTTACTACAAACTTTAAATTCTGGCTGGTGAATAAAAAAAAAAAAATTGTCCTTAGAAGGGACTACAGCAGGTTATGAAGCCAACAGAAGACACAGATGTACCTCACAGTCTCCTTTTGCCATTAATTCTCCAAAGATGACAAATGAAATCAGAAATTGGTTTGGGAGCTTCAGTTGAAAAAGAAATTCCTAACCCAATCCCACTGACGAGAATGGGGAGCAAGCATGGCTCAGTCACAAGACGGATGACAAAGGCAAGGCTGCGTTAGCTCTCAGTCCCCTAAACCCAGGCCCTAAGAGGCCCCAACCCCACCTCCAGGTGTTTGTGCTCAGACGTGTTCCCACACACACACACATTTCCTCAGTGTCGGTCTGCACCACCAACAGAGCGTAGCAGCAGTATGGTCCGTTACTGCTGAGATTTGGTGGTCGCACACTGCAGCTTCTGGCTTGGCGTCCCTGGCTCTGGGGGGCCATATTCCAGGCAGCCCTGCAGACAGGCTGACAGATCAAGGAGCCGAACCTGATGCCATGGCCTCGTGAGCAGGTTCGAACAACTTTGGGTCTCAAGTCTCCAGCCTGATGACAGGCTGAGGTACAATTTTAGAAGAGACCCAAGCTCGACTTGCAAAAGGGGCTTCTCCTAAAGTTCTGATGTCAGAACCACGTGAGAAAACACATGTTTGAGTTTTGTTTTTGTTTTTTGATTTGTTTGTTTGTTTGTTTGTTTTTTAGATGGGCTCACTATGTAGTTGAGACTGACCTGGAACTTACTATGTAGCCCAGGCTGGTCTCAAACTCACAGTGATCCTCCTGCCTCAGACTCCCAAGTGCTGGGATTATAGGTGTGCGCCACTATGCCCAGCTATGTTTGGATTTTTAAACTGTTGTGTGCTGTGGTGATTTGTGATTCAGTGATTGAAAACTAATACATGACATCAATAGTCATTTATTTCAAACTTTTCTTGGTAAGGCTAACTTCCTGTTAAAATCAAAATGACTATCAAATAAAACTAGAAGAATTTTAGTAGCCTTTTCTCTATAACAGTTCAGTATGCTTTGAAGTACACCTGCACCTAGAAGAATACATTTTCCTCACATGAGAAATCAAAGTGAAAGGCAACTGCTACTTGCTATGGGAAAAGCTCAAGATGCACATTTATTCTACAAATGGAGGGGTCTTTTAACTCAATAACAAAAGATGACATGTCACAACCACTATACAGTAGCCACCAGGCTATGATCCCAGAGAGACTAATGCATTACTACAATTTCTTTGAAACAGCACAAGAGAAATGAAGGAATTAGGAAGAAAAAGTACATACAAGTTACAATGAAAGAGTCGTGCTAACATTTTAGGTTGCCAATTTAAATCGAAAGTAACTATCACTAAATTCTGAATATTGACTATTGTTTCTCTGATCACTGAGAGAGCCATGATGTAATTTGTGTTTTGAGCTGATTTGGTCATTGACTGAGACCTAAGGAAGACAAACAGTAACGAACAGTGATATGGTACTATAAGCTGCCATTCTAAATACCAGTAGGGGAGAAAAAAAAGCAATTAAAAACACAGTTACAGGTTTAGCAATTAAAAAAAAAAGCTGTGATGACTTGGGGAAGAGAATAGGCTGTCAAACAAAAGTTGTAAAGGTTATAAAAGGATAAAAAGATGTTAGAGTAAAGTGTAGAGATTATAAAAATAAAATTTGATAAGAACAAAGTATAAATCTTCACATAGGAAAAATGATAAGATAGAGGGAACATTAATATAGATGATGGCTCTAAAGTATTTTCTCTGCAAGTGCAAATCATACTGAGCAAGCACGCAAGAGGTTAGTTCTACTCACTGTCGGAAGGTTTGCTATCACTTAGGAAAGGTTGTTGTTCCATGATGTCCATTGGAATTTTAATACTGGGAACCTTTTCTGAATATGGGCAGTCAGACTGTGAAAAAAAGGTACAAGTTTTTTTAGAATGTTTTATTTTATTATTCAGCCTTTTCAACTTCCCAGTTATGATCACATCTATTATACTCTCATTCACATAGTAAGGAGAAAAGCTAGAGATGTAATAGTTTCCAGTACACTGACTTTTCAAATTTTATATTTTTCCCATTCGTATTTGTTCTCCTCTCTTCTGGGTTAGTGAGGTTGAGACCACTGAAACTAGAGCCACATCAAATGGCTATTACTATAACTAAACTGGAAAGCTTTCTACAAGTTGGATTCCCAATCAGTAAACATGGAGTTTGTGCCAGTAAAGCAAATAATCTCTTTGTGTAAATAGATTAAATCTAGGAAACCTCCTAAACTATAATATGAACCTAAAATTCTTGTTTTCTTATGCTCTCTGATACTATCTCCAAGAAAATCATGGCCTTTATTTTCTTTCAAAACAAATACAATTTTTTAACATCCATTATCAAGGAGCACCTGAAAAAATACCTCTTTCCCTTATTGTAATACTATATCAGATAAAATTTTATGAATTAAAGTTCAATTTTCATCTATCAAAGATATTTGAAAACATAAACAAAACATAAGAAAATGAAACCAAAAGGAAGTGTCTATTATGGTGAGATAAGCCAAGAATCATTACCAGGATCAGATGATGAAACTTGGCAGCTCATCATGGTGCTCTTAAAGACAGGCCTCCTGACCCAAACTGTCAGATTTCCATGGAGTCATCCCTTTAATTCATAAAATTCACTGTACTGAACCCAAGTGTGGACTGAAAAGACACAATTCATCTCCTCACTGAAAATACCAAGAAGGTGATCTTGAGTTGAAATTTTTCTTTCAACTTTCAAAAGAAGTAGGAATCAAAAAGATTGTAACATAAAGCTGACCACCTATATTGAAAATTCCTTTATAATGAATCCAAAAGGACGATGATATATAATATTCTTTTAGAGAACTAAAATAATGCACTTTAGCTACCAGAGAAGAAAAACTTACTAAGATGCCATTGTGCTCTTTATGACAATGATAAGAAAAATAAGTCTTACTCCAAAACAACTCCCCAAATAATAGCACTTATAGATGGACAGGCCAGCTACCAACTCTTAATCACTGCCTCCAGAAAGCTCAAAACTAACTGTGAGTGGCAAGCTGCATCCTGCACTACTTCTGCTCCAGAGCTGTAATCCTGTGCTATAGTGGCTCCCATGTCTGTGGACCCCACACCACATGACTAACAAGTGAACACTAAGAGTCACGCTCCAGATGTAAAGCCCTCAAATATTGGTCTAACACACAGGACTCAGTGTACAGATGTTCTCTGGATCGCCTGGTTGGCTTTACCGTCTAGGAACAAATGTCCACATTTGCTTGTTTGTTTTTGGTAAGGTGGGGTGGAGAAGAGGAAGAGGAACGGGAACAAGTATCATACTCCATCAATAAATCAGTTGGCAATATGGAGCTAAAAATGGTAAACATTAACAAAAGAAGAGCATTGTTAAAATAAGAACTGAAGACCAAATTTAGGTGCTTATTTGATCCAACTTTTGCCATTAATACATAGTAAATTTATAACATTCCCCAGGGTGAATATTTTTCTTAAAAAATATTATAGAGGATTTCATAATATCATTTCATACATTTGTAAAGTGTAATAAGTTTTGTGGGGTTTTTTTGTTTTTTTTTTTTGAGACAGGGTCTCACTGTGTAGTTGAGACTGACCTGGAACTCACTATGTAGCCCAGGCTGGTCTCGAACTCAAGCAATCCTCCTGCCTCAGCCTCCCGAGTGCTGGGATTATAGGCATGAGCCACCACACCTGGTAAAGTGTAATAAGTTTTAAATTTCATGTCCATGGACATGCACTGAGGTACCCATTTTGAAAATTCAAGATGAAATACTGCTTTAATCATGTTAATATTTCCAGCATACCTTTTTTGGTCTTGAATGGCCCAGAAATTTATTTCAAATTTTGGTTTCCATTCAATGTGTAAACACATCATTTTTCTTAATGCTATATATTAATCTCTGTTGCAGTTTAAATACATTCCTTCTTTCTCTGTTATAATTGATACAGAAACTATATACCTGCTCTTGCTGAAGATGGATAGTGAGTCATAAAAGATCCTTCAGATGCTTTTCTCCTCAGCTAAATGTGCCTTATATATTTAGCTCTTTCTTACTAAATCAGTTTATCTGAAATCCAAGTCTCTCTGTTGCCTTCCTTTACTGTACTATTTCCAAGTCCTACAGAAAGAATAATCAGCCTGATCGACTGCAAATAAGCACAAAGCCTTGGATTCAGTTTTGGCTCAGCCGCTTATGGCTCCATGCATCCAGAAAAATGACAAATACACATACCAAGACACCACTGTGTTTACTTTAAATATATACAATTGTATTTGTCACTCAGACCTCAGTAGAGCCGGAAAAAATTTTGAGTTTTTGAAAATTTAAATTTAAATCTGAATCTATTCACTTGCAATGTGGAAAAAGATCCATACTTTCAAGAGCTTCTCGGATAGGTAACTAAGTAATCAATCATAGGGCAGATGCTAAAAATTAACCATATTCCTCTTTTAAAATGGGCAGTGAAACACAGAAGTCATTTTCTACACTACACTGTGTAAAATCTAGAACACATTTTTATGTACAAAGTATCATTCTGGCAGTCCTTTCAAACTGTATCTGCATGTGTGTGCACACACACACGTGTGTGGTAAGGAAAATACTTGCCATCTTTTCTCTTTGCATTGATTACAAGTCCCTACTGGAGCATCTGCATTTCTATGAATGGTCTCCGAAAGAAAAACTAAAGGTTAATAATTTCATTACCTAACTTAATCAGCTGATCACAGTACCATCTGGATGGTGATACTGTCCACTTAATTCGGTGAAGATCCCAAATTCCTGTTCCCTTTACTGCTTGTTGCAGAGTTATAGACAGGTTATGACAAATCACTTTACTACACATTCGAGGTCAGTACAACATAATAGCATGATTTTGTTTGATAGCCTGCTCAAACAGACCTATAAATTATGGGAGGTGAAATCACTGGCATTGGTCCATGTTAGGCTCAAAATTATAAAAAATGAGTTATTAGCTCAAGTACCTGTTACTGATAATAACAAAGCAAATATGTTTTCTAGCATAACTAAGCAAACTTCCTCTCTATGAGGCTGAAAATGTGCAAATGTGGTGATTTTTTTTTTCTTAGAAGTGGCTTCTAAAAAAATTAAGTTGCTTCCAGGGTATCAATGGTTACAAAAATCCCTCATTTAAAAAAAATGAAAAAAATAAAGGACAAATGTGATGGGTCACAAGACCAGACAAGTAGTCTTGGAATTCAGCCCTCCATTTCACATGAGATTAAAAAAAAAGTACATTTTTCACTTTTGTTTCTTTAGCTTTATTTGAAAAGTTTGGAAAGTTCCTCACATCATCGTTGTCGCTGTCCAAACTTCCCTTCTTCTTCTTCTTCTTCTTCTCATCCTCCTTCTTTTTCTTTTCCTTCTCTGGAATGACATCATCAAGGAAGCTGAGGTCGTGCTGGGAGAAGAGGTAGTCCATACCTTTTCTGACAGCGACAAGTGCGAGGATCTAGAGGGAAGAGAGAGACCGTGTGGATGCAGTGGAGAGACTGTGTCCTCTCCACTCAGCAAAGGCCCATCTTCGTAAAGCAAGAGTGCGACGGAACAGAATTCTGCTGACCAAGTGGGCTTGTGCTAAGCTGACCACCACCATCTTCCTCACAGGGAAAGTCACTTCATGAAAGCTTCAGTTCACACTCACTCTATTTTGTTCTCTGACATGTACAATTACTCTATTAGAATTTTAATATTTTGATATTTTTAAAAACCGCTCCTTTTCATGTTAGATTTTTAGTAAAACAGCTAAAATTGTAAAGGCAAAAAAAAAGCCTGAAAAAGACTGCCAATTATTTAAGTTTCAGAAGTTATACGGGTTTTAAAGATCTATGCCTCACACCACGAACTAGGACGTCTTCAGTGAAGTAACACTTGAGAATGCTTCGACTGCTGTTCTTACTGGGCTTCTTGAACCACTTCCCTAACAAAACTCTTACCATGAGCCTCACAACGCTCTAAATTCCTAGGTGTCTCACTTATGCTTCACCACTAATCCAAAAACTACATATTACTATCTCCATCTTACAGCTGAGCAAACAAAAACTTGCAGACATGAAGAATTTTATCAGAGGCCATGAAACCAAATAAAGGAAGAAAAGGCTCACATTGCCTGCTTCTAAAACCACTATTCCTTATCTGTACCTTTGGTTCCATGAATTGGCCTTAAAGAGCAATCCATTTCCCTTCCTTCATGTCCGAAGGTCCATTAAAGGCATCTCTGATGCACAGACAAATGCGTGTGCAGTAAGTTACGGGAGTCCTGGCTCAGCCTCACACGGAATAGTTGTTTCTGCCTCACCAAGCTCTCTAAGTATTACCTCTTCACATCTTGAGGAAATGTATACTAGCTGCCCGACTAGTAGCATAAAATTGTCTCATGACTAAAGGCTCTGAAAGAATTTTACAAAGGTAAAGCATTTTTAATATTTCTTAGCACAAGTAATAAGTGATTTACTGAATATATATTTCAAATTTATTTTGTTTGATATTTGCATTTGAGAGAGGCCAGCACACAGGAGCTTACCACAAAATTATAAACAGGTAGACAATACCACTAGGTACACAGGAGTCATTCTCATGTTAGTGATTATTACAGTATGCCAGTACTGTTTAAGAAGAAAACTCATAAGGGAATAGTAAGAAAAATATCTGACTTAATTAATATATCACTAGGTATCACCAGGTTTTTTTTACTGTTTTTTCCATATTCCTAGGAGAGAAAATGATTATAAGTAACAAATATACATAAAAATAACCCTGGTGAAGAGTAGGAGGAATTTTATTAAACTAATAAATGTGGTTCGTGTATGGAAATTGTACCCAGAACTGTGGGGGAGATAAAAGAGCTGAGGCGGCTCCGTGACCTCAGCATTCAAGTGCACACAGGTTCGTTTTCTGTAGAAAATGGAGGAGAGTTAGGGGAAGGTAAGAAATTCAGTAATGGCACAGCTCACATTTCTTCTTCCCTCTCTTCTGATTCATAGGGGTGTGAGTGCCTTCACTGGGCTTCTCGTGGTATGACGGCCAGGGTGGAGACATCTGCCTTCCCCTGAAGCTTGGCCAGCCTTGAACTACAGAAGCCCCAATAACCAGCTCATTCCATTTTCCACTCCTTCTTACAAGTCTCCAAACACTTCTATTATTTGGACCCAAATGTCCTTTATGCTTCTTTAGATTGCTTCTATGGTACAATATTTAACAATCTGTAATCTGCACTGGCATCTTTTCCGTGTCTGGTGTTGTGCTGTACACTTATTGATCACGGTTGATGTGTAAAACTGTATCAACCCTTCCCTGTCAACCCTACTGATGAGCTAACAAAGGGAGTCCATGGGCCAGCCTGAACCTGAGCTGCTATCTGTACTCTGGTGAACATGATTCTGAGGCTCATCCTAGGCAACTGTAGACATGGGAAACTTAAATTGCAACTGCTCAAACCCAGAATTGGTCCTGCACACCTGTAATCCCAGAACTCTGGGAGGCTTATGCAGAAGGATCAAAAATTTAAAAAGGGATGGAGATGAAGCCAGTTTTCAGTCCCCACTCCCACAAACAGTTACAATGATGAGCTGGAAAGTCCAAGCTGGAAACTATTCCCCACACACAAAAGATGTGTGTCTGTTATGCACAATAACCACAAGCTTGAAGCACAGCCTCCTGGCTGGGTCCAGTTAGAGGAGCACCTACCATGACAGGAAAGATGATCGCAGCCACTGTTGACTTGAGGATCCAGAGCAGGGCCAGACACAACACCTGCAGGAAAGTGAACAAGTGCACTCTGCGCAGGGGCACGTGGCGCAGGTAGATGAAGTCAGGCTGATGCTTGAGGGGCATCAGGAGCAGCTTCAGACGATCCATGAACTGGGGAGGAAAGAGGAAGAGTGTGTTACTTTGTGAGCTGGTCACAGTCATTCCCTACGCCCAACCAGCCACTGCAATTTATACTCTGCACTTTAGGGATGCAGTGTCCTCTGCAAAGGACAAAGATGGGGTAAGGAGCACAGAAATTCAGTCTAGCAAGGTCAGGCTACAGTTCAAGTCTTCTCATCTTTGTTATACTTCTGCAGATATGTTTGAAGATACTAAAAATAATGTGGCCACCAAGGAATAAAATCATCAATCAAAACATAAATTCTAGATGCTGAGCTCCAGGCTTCTATTTTTAATAACTGAGTCTCGGGAGAGAGTTTTGTGCCTATATGAGCAATGTTATGCTGAAAGAGTAATATATCTACTCTGCCTCAGTTGTCTTTTGTTGAAAGAAGAGGAGATGATGCTATGCATCATAGACATTTTGGGGATGCACTAGGACATAAAGGAAGCATTCACCTTAAAACGGGAATGCACTGACTCTTCCATATTCCACATTATATTTCTGTGGTATAACTTAACTAATACACCCAGCCATGCTTTACCATTTACTTTTCGAAGAAAAGCCACATGAGCATCACAGTGAGTTTCACCACATATATAGCTCTCATGGACACACATGTACTGAAATGACCTCTGAGAATCTGTTGACCAGATGCTGCACTTCAAAGAACAGCTGCTGAGCTGACATGGGTGATAGTTAACAGGATGATACAGAAAAACCCAATAGAGGATATTTCAGTAGAAGATGCTCGGGAAATAGTTGCTGAATTGAACAATTACAAGAACCCAGAAATATATCTCTGTTTTTGTTCTGGAGGGAAAGGAGAAGTGTAAAAGTGAACTAGACACTCACAGGTCTCTAGAGAGATTTCCTCTTTACAGGGTTTCATTCCCCCTATAGAGCTATTTTTGTCTAGTAGACCCTTCTCATTTATAAAGATTGAGTTACTACATTTCTTGCTAAATCAATCTTGTCAAAAGAGTCTGAAGAAGAAAGAATAAAGTAAGGAAAAGGGAAAGGCACTGGAGCAACAGGATTAAAGAATTTAAGATATGTGCTATTTGTCCATGAATTCAGCATGGTTCTTTTTCTCTACCATTAGGATGTCTTGAGTCTTCTCTCTATAGACATATACTGACTTCTAACCACTGATAAACCTCTCATATAGGCAAAAATCAAATTTTTGAGCTAGACTATACCATAAAGGGCAAACAAAAATAAGAAATATTAGTTTGGAGACCAAATTTAGGGTTCATATATTTTCATTTAAAGGAATATTTACGATGGGGACAAAAGCAATATATTTTATAAATATATACTCCCTAAAAGTCTCATGAGCACAGATAAAATCACAGTACATTAATCTAGTAGAGTCCATGAAAGGCCACTTTATATTTTGTAACAAATATCTCAGTGGTGAAGAGCTCTACTCAATGGACCTAAGCAGAGAAAAGTAAAGTAGGCTTTTCTCTTTGGGGGTTCTGGCCACTTGCCCAGCTCTATCTGACTTTAAAACCAAGTTAAGCTAAATTCAATAAATGAATACAAGGGCCATTTTGAAGAAGTCAAACAGACCCTCATGATGTTCACAGAACACGAAGCCTTTTCCCATTGACACACTACTGAGTGCTAAATGAGGTTACAGTTAACAAGGTGCCAGAGAGCAACAGAGAACTTCCAGTTCCCGGTGCTAATTAAATCAAATCTCAACTGAAGACAAAGTCCTTATAAAGTTTTTCCTAATTAGCTTTTTAAAAGGGGTCAGTTTTATCTAAGTTGTGAATAACGGAAGTTTTCCACAAAAGCGGTATAAAAACCACAATGACATTAATTATTCGTTGATATAAAATTTGATCACTAAGTTCAGCCATAAGAAATGCAGATCAAAAGTGAAGAGTGGTACAATATCAGGTTATTGCCAGTAGATAAATGCTACCTCAAGGGGCACACTGAAAGAGACAAGTGTCCCCTTGAGGCCAGAAGAAAAGATGTGACGAGGAAGACAGGGAAGGAGAGAGGAAAAGAGGGATGAAGGAACAGAGGGAGAAGGAAAGGAAAAACTACAGGTCTCTGAACTGTCCTGCTCAAACAACTGTTAACAGCCCACTTCAGGGATACATACTTATGATAACATTCGCTAATGCCAGCTAACTTTATTGATTAAACCAGAAATGAAAAGCAGGTGAAAGAGAAAGTAGAAAATAAATGTATTTTTTAAACCTAGCATTGATGTTTAGTAATTTTCTTTAAAGATCTATTACTAAATTATTCTTACTCCTAAAAATCTACAACTTTCTCAGATTGCTATGAAAACTTACCTGTACCCCATTCAGCGAAGCTACACCCATGTACAGGAACACACCATAAAGTACAGGCATAGGAATAAACTGGGAAGGAAAGAAATGGACAAAGGCTTAAAATAGCAGTAATAAAAACATTATGGGAAAGGAATGGTTTTAAAAAACACTAAATCTGAAAAACACTAAATCTGAAAAAAAAGAGGGTCTATATCAATCACATGGTACCTTTAACTATTGTGATTTATCAATTGATAAACTTCTAAACTCTGTGCTAGAAATAAAGGGAAGAGGGTGAAGAGAACTTTTAATTTTCATTTGATGCCTTTTATTTTACAATTAGCACACATAACCTTAGTAGTTGTTTTTAATTAATTTAAAAAAAAACTTTTCCTTAAAGAGACCATATAAACCAGATGCTTGCAGGGGCTGTGAGGCATTGATAAGTTGCATCCAGCATCTTTTCAAAGAAGTCCGCTGAATGTTCCTGAATGATGTCTCCACATGTCTAAATATCTCCTTCAATGAAATAAATATCACATGACTGTTGCCTTGCTTCTCCATACTACTAGGAGGATGAACTAATGAGAAACCTGCCTGAGAGGGGCATGGGGCTTCTGGAAGAAATTAATTGCATACATGAATGAATACACCACTTCTAAAACAAAATTAATGCATTTTATGCATCATTTAGCAAAAACATCTCTACATCAATATGAAGTGTTTCTACAATGAGAAGTTTCTAATGTGATCAGCCTAAAAACTCCACGTAATCCTTAGACCTGTGAAATGAAAGCAAACCCAGCATGATTTTGATTCGGAGGAGTCTTTGGTCTAGATAATAAAAGGTTCTCAACCAGAGCTTGTGAGAAGAAATCCAAGCGATTTCAGGATTTTGCAAAAGTAAAATACTGAAACTGCAAGTCAACTAAGGCCAATCTTTCCAAATCCACACAAAGGAGGTAACCGTAAGCAGAAAATACAGTATGTCAGCAGAATAATAGTTTTAAGTTTCCTACATGGAAGAAAGTGCCATTTCTAGCAGCCTCTTTTCTGTGATTACCCAAAGCAGTTCTGCCTAGGAAACACTCAGGCTACTGTTAGAGAATCAAGAATCCAAAGTGTACCAAGACTTCTCAAAATGTTACTGGCTGCCCATATAAATGGACTAAATACATTTCCTTTTATAAAATGTCAAATGCTTTTTCTAGAAAAGATTAGCAATTTCAATGTAGCTAATTTTGATCTTGAGCTCAGGAAAAGAGAAGGAAAGAACTTGGCTGTGGAGGGGAGCTAAGGACAGGCCAGCAGCAGAGCTAAGGCAGATGTTCTGTTTCTATTCCTTCAAATGCTTCTGTATTCTTTAACACCCCCCAAAGGGGGGGGGCTAGCTGAAGAACTACTTTATTGATTTAATTCATTTTTAAGCTGTTCCATTTTCCTTAGTATATGATGGTTTATTTCTTTTTTCACTTTCAATTTTGAAAGGAAGAAAAGTAGGAGCAGAAAAGAGAACAGTTTATTCATAAAGAAGTTAGAATTCCTGCAGCAGTTACTTTTAAGAAAAGCATTTTTTATCTTAAACATAAGTGTCCCATAGGGCCCATCTCTGGGCTCATTCATTTCTCTAATGTGAGTCTAAAGTCAAAGTGAGAGGAAGTTGTACCCTGGGGCTGAGGGCCATACTCTCTGAATTTGATTACAGGCCTACTCAAAATGAACCTGAAGGGATCACTAACACAGATCAACACGGGAATGGGCAGGAATCGTTTTTTAAAACATATTCTTTGTTGAGAAGGGGGGTTGCCAAGATTTTTGGTCAAGTTCAATGTGATAGAAATATCTTATCAAACTGGCCATTTTTTTACAACAACATAAGATCTCAACAAGAATGATCCAGCATGGAATGCTTGGTAAAATTTGACAGAATTATTAGGTCATAAGTTCATAAGACGTATCAAATGGTCAAGTCTTTAAAATTGGTCACTTTGAAATTATTCTTCAAAACATAAATGTCACAGAAAAGGGCTAAAGGTGTAGGGAAAGTGGGAAAGGTAGCAGAAGGGGAATAAGGGAAAAGAAAAAAATGTGAGAAAATTAAAAAATGGAATTAAAGTGTTTGTAAAGGGGGAGGAGAGGAGAGGGCGAAGGGAGGGCAGGGACAAGGGGAAAAAATGAGAACCAAGACCTGTCATGTAAAGGTACAAGATCCCAATGATGAATGGTAACTGTATGGTATACCTACAATGTACCAATAAACTCAATAAAAAAAACATAAATGTCTCAAATGAAGGAAAAGAATATTTTTTAAAAGATAGAACACCATCTAAAGTTATAGTGATATAATATACATAATAGTAGGTGAATGTTTTTATAAAGCAAGGCAAAAGAAACTGAAATGTAAAATCACACAGTATTCAGGGTTATAGGCACATCAATAGCCAAATGATAAAATTATGCAAAGAAAATTATATAAATAATCAATCATACCCAAAAAGTTAATTACGAAGTAGTAGTACATTCAATATGTACTCAAAAATAAGTGAGTGATCCTATGAAATCAGGATGAAAGTAACACAACAATACGTAGATCACAGCACTAGATTTTCAAATTCTAGTGAATGCAATTCTATACATTTTTACTTACATTCCATTCTATTACCAATAGTGTTAGAATATTTCCAGAAGAAAAAATATGAAAAGGATAAGTTTAATAAGAAGGCAAGATTGTGCTTGGTCAACACAGAGTTCAGTACAGCAGCGAGATCCCTAGCAGCGGTTACTCTGTACATTTGGGGAGTGTGTGTGTGTGTGTGTGTGTGTGTAAAACACAAAGTGTTGGGCACAGAAGTCAGACAGTTCTGGGTTCAAATTCTAACTACCAGCTGTGTAACCTTTAGAAAATTGCTAACTTCTCTCCTTAGCCAGCTTATCTAAAAAGTGGCTCTCATAAACACTATGTAGCAGGAAAACATCCAGTCCAGAGCATGGCTCATAACAGACACTCACTGAATGACAGATGTGATGCGGTGTTGATATTGTCATTGTCCTGAGGACCTGACTGACAGGTGCAGTAGCAAAATCGCCAGCCCCCACTCAGTCCCTCAGTGCTGGCAAGAGTATTGGTCAGAGTACTGTAGAAGGTAGGATTAAAAGCCTTTTACTTAGGCTCTACTGTATTGCCTCTATTAAAATTATAACACCTGCCTTCAGAACTACATTATCAAAACAATATACTAATTTCCTTCAGTCTTAAAAATCTAAGTTGATAAACTGTTAATTTTCAACCTCAACTCTGAACTAAACTGGAAAAACTAAAAAAACTCGCTAATGAGAAGTTCAAGAAAATGCCACATCTCTCTCCATAAAACAGAGAAGTAAGAAGAAAAAGAGAGAGGTAAGAACCTTTAAAAGGTGACAAACCCTGAGGGTCGTGACATTAGCTTTAGTATTAGAGCTTCCTGAGCTCAACTCTTGGCTCTACCACTTACACACTTTGTGACTGGGTGTCAGTAATTTGGCAAATTACTGATAAGTTTGTTCTCTCTGTAAATGCAGGTAATTATTACTGTCTGTTTTGAAGATGTCATTGGGGGAACTAAATTGTAAAAATCAGTGCTGAGTCCTTAATTCAATGCCGAATTCAAAAAATAGGCTCATCATCAGATCCTTTCTCTGCTTCCTTGGTATGAGCAGAGCATGACATATTGTAGGAACTCAACAAATATGTGCCAAGTACAAATTAAGTGCAGTCTTCCACACTTCAGAACACTAAACAAATCTTAAAGATAAATTTTAGCCACACCTCATGTTGAAGATAAACTAATTCAAGCAAAGGGAACAGAAGTAGCAGTGAGCTTTATTTGATCTTTGTTTCTTGAGGCTTGCCAAAAAAAGAAAAAAGGAAAAGTAAGCTCAAGGAATAATAGCCTTTCATCTTTTTGCAGTTCTTTCGTCTCCCTTGGCTTCTCCACACAAATAATGGTGATAACAGGCAGGGCTTCAACTGAAGAAACATCATGGAAACCATTTATCCAGCCTGGGAAGCCAGTTGTGACCTGAATCAGTGGTGAAATTCAGCACTTCGAGGCAAGTGTGACGGTCGCTGGCTAGTGCCAAGGGGTACCCTTGCGAACTAAGTTGATACACTACATTTCTTTACATGGTTCCTCATAAAAGACAGATTTCAGTACAGAGATCATAATGGGGTCAGAAACTTCATGTTCAAAGCAAACTCGCATAAGTAATCACAGGGAACAAGTACCTATACCGCTTGGTGCATGAGAGAAAATTTCTAAGCTCACTGCAGACTATTAAACTTATAAGGGAAATAAGGAGTCTGTAGGAAAGACAGAGCCACTTCATTCTTAAAAGGTGCACATTTCTCCTATTCCCTTCATTTGATCTGCCTTTCCAAGGCAGGCTCTTAAACAAACATTTTCTGAAGCTGTCACTTGCTCCTTTAAGAAACATGGTCACTGGAGGAGGAAAAAGGGTTTCCTCCTTCAAAGTAACCTCTGACACCACTTTGTGTGAATTCTGGGGTTAATTATTAAGGGTGACTTTGCCTTAGTTGCAAACTTAGGTTTCGGTTAAATTGTACCCTCAATGCCAGCTTCTTCCTGTATTGACTTTTAAAAGGAACTAACAAGTGACTTTTCAAATGATGTCTGACAAACACACATAACTCACCAAGTTTCACAGGACGAAGGGCATGTGATCTAAAATTGGGAAACAACTAAGTCTTGTTTTCAGAAGTCAGGAATAGCTTCACTTATTGAAGTAAGGAATTTCCATTGCTGTTTTTAAATATTGTTTTCCATAATGCATTTTAAGCTACATTGACAAAACCACTCCATTTCCCATATATTGGGCAAAACTGTGCTTAACAAAAAAATGTTGACTGAACTACGTTTTACCCTGAATTTTACAATGATCATTTTTACAATGACTTTTACAATCCCAAAAGGGGATATCCCAAAGTTGCTAGGTGGAAGTAATGTCAGTCATGGACACTGACAGCCGAGGGACAGCCACAGCCTGTATACTCAAGGAGCACCACGCTCATGTTCACTGACCCCCCAGTGTCTCCCTTTTCTGACCTTTGACCTCTGACCTCTGTGCTTTGCGCGTGAGGGGCAGAATGAATCATGGCAAGAAGGTACGTGGCTTTCCACATTAACTCTTCTGCAGTCAAGTCCAGGTGTAGTGTGAGGAAACAGAAAGAGATATTGGTGAAAATACGCTTCTTCAAATCTTCCTAAAAATGACAATTGTATCTGTTCTCTGAGTCCCTTTGAAATCATAATGATTACTCAGCTGATTGTGTTTCCAGGACTAAAGCCAATTTGCTGTAACAGACATACAAAAAAGAGAGCTTTTAAATACATCTAGATTCTCTGAATTAGGGTTTATATCATATTAATAAAAATAAATCATATAAAAGTAAAAGACAGAATGAAGCATTGGGTAGCGAGTAAATCTGGACTAATGAAGAGATTACTGTCTGCTGATCCTTTTCTAGTAAATAAGCATGAGGAGAGTCCATACAAGCAAGGAGGAAAACTCATTCCTAGTACGGCCACCCACAATACAGGGTCATAACTATCTACAATGAGCTCCACAAATGACCTGGGTAAGGTAACAGTTGATTTCCTTCTGTCCTGATAGAACCAAAGTTCAGTACTCTTTTTAGGTCCTCTTGTACAGCACCAGAAACAATTTCTCAGAGGCTACTGTTAATTTTAGTTCTCTGTGTGTTACCTGAGAAATAAAGTCCTTCATGAATTTAAATCAGAGATTGATTTAACTGGACAGTTGTCATTGTGGAAACCAAGGATGAAATATAAATTATTAAATATTTTAACTGTTTTCCAGGGATTGTGTACCTAATGTAAATTTAGTATAAAGGCTCTAAAGACAAAGTTAACTTTGTAAGTTAAGGCAGTGGTAGTGAACCTATGGAATGCACATTATTTGTTTTTCTTTTAAGACAAAAATGTGAGTTATGAATTGATTTTTCTAAACTAAAACCTCAGTATTCACATTTAGTTGAAATGTTGGCACTTCACGGTAAATACGTAGGTTTTGGGTTGCAGTTTGGGTCCTCATCTCTAAAAGTCAACTGGGTTAAGGAATTATAGTTCCAGGTTCCTAAAATTCATGTGTTTAGCCACTGACATAAGATTTGCTAATGTGAGAAAAATGGAGGGCTTTTGTTTTTCACTATCTATAGTTGTGTACTGTTTGAATTCTTCAAACATATACTACTTTACCAGTTGTCTAACTGAGCACTTAAACTTTGAAAATTAAAATTATTTAAAAATAAAAAATTTCAAGAAAAAAATTGGAGATTGTTAATGGTAGTGGTATACAGCTGTATGAGTGATTTCTGTGGTACAAAGCATAAGATACAAATTATTAATAATTGACTAGCTACCTCACAAGCACAAACTCCTGAGTTTGCTCCCCAGTACCAAAAATAAATAAATATATAAATAATAATTGACTGGCATTGTGTCATAAAAGAAAATCAAAAGCTTTACAGGCAGGACTATATTAACCTTCTCTGGTCCTATTTCTGGTCTGAAGCCATCATATATCATTTTATTTATCTACCTAGGCAAATATCTACCCATCAACCAAACCTATGTGTTGTTTCCTCACTTTCTAATCTACCAGGTAATTTTTTCTTCTCCAAAAGTTCACTTCTAAAGTTTTCTAATTATAAATTAGTAATAGTTTACTCGTTTCCTTTTAAAGGCTATTGGTCCTTGTGATTCGATGAAAATAAGAACCTAGCAAAACTAAGAACAGGAGAAAAAATTCATCCTGAATCACTCATATTCTCTGGAGGTCTAATGGAGGTACAGAGGAGGATTGAGGTAAAAGTACATGGAGGGTAATGAAAGAAAGGATTGGTAGGAAGACCAGAAAGCAGAAATATGTGGGTGGATGGCAGGGTGGGGAGGTGGGAGTGGGCAATTAGCCATCTTGAAATGTGTGAAACTGACATTCTCACAGGTCAGAAAGTTTAAATATTGGTAATTACTATGGTTTAACCAAGTAACTGCAAAAGTAGTAAGCCCAGGGGTGATGGACTCAAAAAAGAAATCAAGAGATGTGTTTTTCAAAGTCCTCTTGCCATTGGACCCTTGCTTCAGTGTGCTACGGAACTGAGGAAGATCTCGCAAACATTTCCCTCTTCACTGGTTCAAATACCAGTCGGTGTTCTGAGAAACAGGAGGTGGTGTTTCACATATTTACCTTCAGGATGGGAGCCATAAAGACTGACAGGCCAGTCAGAATAAACACAAGGGTTCCAGTGACTCTTTGTTCCCTGAAATCAAATCAAGAGATTACCAATCCACTTCTTGTTTTCATAAACATGCTCTAGTCTTTTCTCCACCAAACAAGACTATACATTGACCAAACCAAAGTTCAGTTAAAACAGTGAAGGCTTTGATATCATGCAACTAATATCTCAGGACATAAATTAACTTACATAACTATAAAAATTTTTCTTAAAATTATTACAACATGTGATTCAAATGCATAAAGAAAGGAGTGATTTTGCTAAAGCTTTTGCTACTTTTAGAGTCACAAAAGAAAAAAATCACTTGGTGTATCAATTAACTACTGGCCTCTTTGCCTCTCTTATTTTTCAAACTTGTCCCATTGTGTAATTATACCTTCTTTCATAGAAAACAGATACTACATTGTCCCACACTCTAATTAACAAACAGCTCAAGGAAATTTCGTGAGTGCAATAAATCACACAAGTCTAATTTCTAAATATACAACAAAAGTACTTCTTAACAAATATGATTCCCTTCTAACACCCTCTTCCCCATCCCCCCAAAACTAATCACCCACTGTTGAGACATGGGGAATGCTGGCTTGGTTGTGTGAGCTGGTGCTTGCAGGCACTGTGTGCTCTCAGAAGCAGTTGACAGAGCATGAAGGTCTTCTGCCACTGCCCTTCATGCTGCCCAAATCCAACAGCTGGAGGTTAAAGTTTCAAAGTGCTTATGGGGGCAGAAAATAGACTGAAAAATAAGAATTCCTTTTCCTTCATAGAATCTTAAAATTCATAAGCAGATTCAGGAGTTTTAGGATCTTTATGTATGATTGATTGAGATACAGTAAGAAAGGCAGCACCAAATCACCTACATTATGAAGAAATTGTGTTTTGTGTTGCATACATAACTTAGCCTTCTGTTAGTTGAAGGAAATTTATATATAATAAATAAACTGAAAAAAATTAATGAAAACTCTTTCTGATTAAAAGTCCTTTCTAGAACAGAAAATGTAAGAATAAGTTAATTATCACCAGCTCTATCTGCTCCAAATCTGCCCATTTCCTTCGGAAATACAGATGTCCACAATGTGTTCTAAAGAACCCTTTTGCTTTAGTTCACCCACCTCACTCCCAGAAACTTCGGCTGCTCTCCCGGTGCAGATGTCTCCGTCTCCATCTTTAAACTGTCAATGTGCGCAATGGAGATCACAGTAGCAGCCACGTACCAGGGGAGGCCCATGAAGGAACACACCACCATGATGACAGCCACCCAGAAGAGATCCAGGTGATATCCAGCTCCTTTCTGTGGAGAGAGCCAATGAAACCTTCTGGAGAAAATACTTAGAGCTGCTAGCCCCAGTTTTATTCCCTGATAGGATTTAAGATTATCAAAAGAAAATAACTCATTTCTTGGTCAAAATATTAGAGGGTCAGATCTTTGGGGAAAGGAACTTCATCTTCCTCATTCTGTTCTCCCAGCAATTGAACACACAGCCACCTCTTAACAGTCACAATAGCACACAGCACCTATACTATCATGGTTGTGAATAACTTAGATTTAAGCACTGCTTCACTTAGTATTTATTTACTGTTAATTAACCGTATCCAATTCTGTAAGCAAAAACGTAGAGACAGGAGGCCATTTTGGAAAGTTATTGGACTGTTCAATGAAGTAACACAGGCAAAGTATCTCCTAGTAACATAAATGGTGCTGGTAGTAGTTGCTACAAAGTAGCAGCTCAATAAATGGAGGCAGCAGTAGCAGTGGAGTAGGGCGTGATGACAAGAGCAATGAGCAGGCACTCTGCCTTTTCCAGTGGGCAGCATTTAGCCATTGGATGAATGAGTACATGTAGCTGGTGCTAAGTACATGTAGAGTAAAGATCCCCAACAACCCAACTCTGATATGATATGAAGACCATTCTCAACTTTCACAGCATAGGACAATAATTGTTAACAACCTCTTACTCATAATCATTCAGAGCCCCTTAGTCAAAAGAGGTTAACTTCAATCACCGCCCAACAATCATAATGACATTTACTGACCACAAGAGCAGACAATGCAACACAAGGTCTGGTTCTTCTACTCACTAGACAAATATTGTTAAATGTCTCTACAGTGTTATTCTATGGTTGTATTTCTCTGCTCTGTTTGTGAAGAAATCAAATGCTTAATTTCCCTCTGGGCCTGAGGGAAGAGAGAAGTCCACACTCACTGCATGCAAGCACACCCTGAGGTCAGAGTGTGACCCTCCCAGGGAATGGAGAGGTCACTCTCCATGGGGAGCTGTGATCTACATCAGGCACCCATGACTGTTATCATTCAGATCTTGTTACACTTTGTGAGAACACTGCTCTCCCCTCACTGAAATACCAAGAGATTCTACCCCTGGCTTTCACGCCTGGGTCTAATCATGTTCCCAGAGAGCACTTAGCAGGTGAGGGCGTGGGCACAAAGAAGAAAGGCTTGTGCTCATTTGGACCAGAATTGGCTGAGAACAAAAATCTGCTCATGGGAAAAAGAGATTAATATGCAATGTAAGAAGCAAAATTGTGAAGTAAGGAGAAGAATAAGGTGGAAGAAAGGAAGGCCACTATGGGATAATCTGAAATAAACACATTCAATAATGACTAAGGTGGTAAATATCATGCCATATCAGGGAATCTCGGGCATTCATTCTTTCAACAAATACTGACTCTCAACTCAGTACCAGGCATGGCTCTAGCTGCTGGTGACACATCTGTAAATAAAAGAGAGAGAAATGCCCATCCTTGTGAAATCTGTTTATAGAGGGAAACAGCAATAAATCACATAAACAAGCTATCATAAGTAATAATAAGTACTAAGAAGGAAGAATCCAGACTTGTACACTGAGCACAATGGGAGGGTGAAACAGAAGGGTGAGAGGACTTTCTGTGTCGTGCACTTTCTGACTGCTGTACTGGGTACAGACTGAGTAGGTAGAGCCAGCAATGCTGGTCAGGAAGTGCCTGCCATTATCACTGCTGCAGGTGTCAATGAGGGCCAGGACAGCAGCCACACAGGGGACAGAGAGTGATGGGTCCTGGCTGCACTTCAAGCCAAGTCTGGGACCTGACTCCACCTGCTTGTGTGCACAACTGAACCAGCATCCACAGCCTCATCCTTCCCTTGCCCTTCCTGAATCTTCCACCACCAACACCACTTTCTTCCACATGTAATTCCTCAGATGGGGTTCACTCACTAGTGCTTGGGGGTAAATGTCCATTTGGCCTCTCCACCTGGAACAGTCTTCTCTTCCTTGGCCCAGCCTCATCTACCCTCAAGAGCTAAGCTAGCCTCAAACTTCTCTGATGATTCATCTGCCCCAGCCCAGGTTAGGTGAATTGAGCAAGGTTAGATCTTCTTTGCATCCACCACTTCCATGGCATCCTGTCCATTGTAGTCACAGCACTCTAACTGATGTCTGAATCATACGTATGTACTTATCTCTGAGACTAAACTGTCATGAACACCTGGACTGTCTTGTTTTTTCTTTTATTCTGAATCCCCCAGTCATTAGAGTACATGATGTACAATTGATTCTCAATAAAATTTTGTTTAAAAAGAGGAATGACAAATAGCATGTACACATTTTCCTAAAGGACAGCTATAAACTCTTAACTAGCCATACAAAAATGAAGATGCTGTTAACTGGTGTACATGTGAAACATGTAGGGGAGGAGGGAGGACAACAGCTGAAAGCATCACACACTTTCAAGCAACAAAGACTTCAAATCCTGTTAGAGCTAGCAACATAACACAATACACACACTCCCCAGGTCTTGTTGCTAGAGAATGTACAATGTGCACACTGGCCAGATCAATGGACCAAAAGAAAAGCAGTCCTACCGAGCATCAGGCTTGCTACCTTGTGCTGGCTTGATCTCCTTCAAGGGACACAAATCTGAGTCAGCTAATTGAAGACAAGCACAAAGCAATCACAAATCATTGATGAGGGTGGGAAAGGATTTCAGATCACAAAACATGAAGGCAATTGTGCTTAACCATCAGAATAAATAAAAATTCTGGGATAAAATCACTATGGACACGTGATTACTCTGTTCTCCTTGGTACCATTTCCTTCAAAATGTATTATTCTGGCAGAGAAGCAGAGGAGCCCAGCCATGCAGGCCATCTGGTAGCACCACCCCTTTGGAACAGAGGAGCAGAGGAGCACAGCCAAGACTGCTGCATCTACCTGGGCCATGCCAGCACCTGGATCCATACCACAGAGGGGCAGTGGGTCAGAAAGACCATTGTTCTGAGTCTAGAATATGGAACAGAAGTGAGCAACAGAAAGAGGGCCTCTTTGAGCCTACTAGATGAAAACTGAAGCCCTGCAATCAAGGCACACCAAATCACCAAAGTTAGTAAGTTGGAGGGAATACCCCCTCCCATTGGAAACTTGGACTATCGTCAGAGAAGGGCAGCAGGAACATGCAGTAGAACCTTGTAGTTTAAGCCAGCAGGTGGTCAGGGAGCTCAACCTGGGCCTTAGAGCCAGAAATCAGCCTGAACCTCAGGGGACAGCTGCTGGCTTGCTGAGACTAATTGACTTAAATCTGCACACTCCTACCTACACTGTCTATTGTGACAGCACAGACAAACCCTGAAGGAGGCCCTTTATTTTTATTTATATTTTCAAAGTAATTTTTCTCTTATTTTTAATAATTTAAAAAATTATTTTTTCTCTTTTCAATTTTTTTCTTTTTCAAATTTTCCCCTTTTTCTTTTTCCTTTTTTCTCTCTCACTCTCTCTCCCACCATGTTCTTTATTTCTCTCCCTTTTTATCCCTGTTTTTGTCCCAATTCAAATTTCTTTTTTTTTCCTTTCTTATTCTTCTCTCTTTTTCCTTCTCTTGATTGTCATGAGTTTTAAAGGAAAATGAATATAGTTTCTAGCCTCCCTATGATGTTAGGTTGTACTGTTTTTGTGTTTGTTCTTTTGTTCTGTCTTTTCATCTTGTCTTCAACAGCTTCCTGGAGTTTGCATAATTGGCCTGTGTCTGGTGGCCTTGCTTCTAACCTTTCCCTATCCTACCTATCCATCCCTCCCCAACTCCTTCTAAGTCCATATCCTGAATGGTAAAGTTGCTATATTGAAAAGTTTACTTGTTATAAACATATTTGGGCTGGTCCTGGATTTTGATTGAATTCACATGTTTAAAGGGGATAGATTAATAACTACAACAAACTGTCATTTTCTAAGCTGTGCTTCATGCTATTGTTGTTGCTCATTCTATCACTTGGGCTACGGTGTTCTGATTGATCATTTCAGGTGTCTCTCCTGTTGTACTGAAAATGAGATTACCTAAGGGTCTTTAGAGACTCAAAACCTAAAGACCAGCTATATCTGGAAGACATCTCTAAGAAGCAATCATTCCATAAAGGTTCTAAATAGAAGGAACAAAGATATTTACAATACACAACATTGAAGTATCAACCCAGGAATTAAACCAAAAACAGCACCACCAACAAAAATGGAAATGCAAAGACATTTAAGCAAGTCATAAACCCAGACTTTTACTCACCAAAGGCAAATTCTGAGGTAAATGAGGTGGAAAAGTCTGATAATCAACCACCTTGACACCCTGAACTAATAGCACAGGAAGTAACAAAACAGATGAATGAGGCACTAGAAAAATTCAAAACAGAAATAAATTCCCAGATAACTACAGAGATGGTGAGAACAATGAAAGACATGATTAAAGACTGTAGAACAGAAAGAAGTAAAACAGTAGGTGAACTCAGAACCATTATGGAAGCCATGAATGCCCAGCATAGGAAAGAAATAGAAACCATGAATACACACCATAAAAAGAAATGGAATCCATGAAACAGATTCAAACAGATATCCAGGAGATTAAAAATTCTACTGAAAGTATTCACAGCAGAATGACAGAATATGAAGACAGAATATCAGCTATAGAAGACAGGATTGTGATCAGTGACCATGAAAAGAGAGAACTCTAAAAAATCTATACCTAGGGCTGGGGATTTAGCTCAGCAGTTCTGCCGCCTGCCTTGCAAGCACAGGACTCTGAGTTCGATCCCCAGTACAATAAATAAATAAATAAATAAATAAATAAATAAATAAATAAATAATCTATACCTAGACATATAATCATCAAGATCCTGATAACCTATCAGAACAAAAAAATGCTACAAGCACTTACAGAAAAGAAACAAATCCCATAGAAAGGAAAGCCCATCAGAATCACAGCAGAATTTTCAACACAAACCCTCAAGAGTTAAGGAGAGCCTGGAGGGAGGTATTTTAA